CAATCTTTACTATATTACTAGATCATTTTTACTACATATATTAGTTGAGAAAGTCTAGCTGCTTACCTGTATTTTTAAAATCCTATATTTTGTTTTATGCAATATATTTTTAAAAATATTATTACTAGAGTCTTCTGTATTCTACATACAGCTAACTTAGTTTTATATAACATGTTATAATTACTTAATACTTGTAATTAGAGCTAACTTTAAACTATTATGTTATACTATTTCTACTCTTATAAAGTTTACCCAAATTTCAATATCTATCTTTCTGATATTTTCTTTATTATTCTTTACTAATCTCAACTCAGAACTAACAAACAGTGTTGGAAATCTGTTTTGAAATTTATGTTCTCATGAGAACACAATTATTTAATTTAATGTTCTCGAAAATATTTTTATTTTCTCAATAGCAAAAATTACTGTTACTATTTTTTAAAAATTTTCAAATAATATTGATAATTTATTTAAATTTTTATCTCAAACTTGCTTGTCTTTTATGTTTGTTCATTTTCTTTTCAGAATTTTTCAAAATTTATTTATTTTCTAATTGTCAACTTAATTTGTACTATAGTATATAGAGAACATATTTATCAAGCAATATGTTTTCAAAAATTTTTTTATAGAGAACATGTTCAAAGTAATAAATGTTCTCAAATTCAAAAGTATGTTCTCTTGAGAACATGAGAATATTAGATTTTCTACACTGCTAACAAACTCTTCAGACTTCTAATTTAAATAACCTAATATAGTATTTTTTAGTATTTTTTTTTTCTAATAATTCTGATAGCTTGATTGATTATATGTTTTTTTATACATTTTGTTATTTGATTTATTCACTAAGGGATGTGGCAACTTAGTGAAGTGGATAAGTTGTCAACCTTCAAGTAGTAAGTTGTGAGTTCAAAACTCATTGACAGCAAAAATTTAAATAATCACCTATATAATACATAGATGATATTACAATGACAGCATTCTGTTGATTAGTTGGGATAGGATATCTATAACTATGGTTGCATCAGCATGACTGACAGATTACAGGGCATTTGTGTAATCTTGGTTACACAAAGAAATGGCAGTGCAAACCTAAGATAAGTCCTTGTGGCTATATAAATCTGTAGAACTAGGAAACTAAAGCCTACTTGGAAAGACCTAAGTAGAGAGATAACACAGATTTTTGATAATACCACTGTAAAGGCTAGACCTAGAAAATAGATATCAATGTGAAGAAGCCAGACAGACAAGAACCTTAGATAAGAGGTACCACTAACCAGGCCATCAGAACTGAACTGAAGAAAAAGAATATTGGACTGGCTTAATATACCAAGAACAGGTCATAGTTCTACTGGACTATCTGAATTAGGAGTTTGAGGTCAAAACAGAGGTATACTATAAGTACTAAAGATATGCTATAAAGTAAGTACTGAGATTTAGATGAACTCTACAAGAGCTAGTTTTGTTAATGTTCTATAGAGTGAGTAGATAGTTAACAAAAAGGTACTCTGAAACTTTACAGTCAGATGATGTACTCTGGAATGTGTAATAGCTTAACAGATATTCAAAAGAGAACAACTAAATGTTATGTTAGATGGCACTTAGTTATACAGAAACCAGATATTACTCATCTGAATGTAGTATAAGGATCAGAGTATTTAAATAGATATTCTTTTAATAGGTTACAGACATGGCAGCTAGTATAGAACCCTAAGACGAACTACTCAAATAGGTAACCAAAAGTTACATATGTAGCTAGTTGCATACTTACCTTGTACAAATCATATGTAATGCATTAACCAAAAACACAAATAAAGACAGTAGCTATCAATAACATTGGGCTTAAATAAAAAAAAAAAGATTTATCCACCTATTCTTATAAAGGTGTTTTATAGATTTTCATTGGTCTAAGATTATTGTTAAAAGTTTGTGCTATTTCTTTACTTAGAAATTTTTAAGCAAGATTCTGTCTTTTCAGTTCTTTAGTCTTTTGCATTAGTTGATCTTATCATAAGTTTGTACTAAAGTATTATACAATACTGATTGTTAACATTTCTCTAAATATGTATAACATTATACTTTGTATAGATGCTCTAAGCTCTCAATAATAAGTAGTACTCAACTTGATATTTTTGAATTACAACTGCATAAAGCCAACAAATTGATAGAAGACAGTTTTTGTAATACAAATTAATTTTCAAATTTTGTTATAAATAAGATTTGAACCTTAGACCTACTACTTAAAGGATGACAACCTAATTACTATACTAGGATTATCACCTTTTATACAGATATATTGTAAAAATTTAATATATTAATTAATATTACTTTAATAAAGATAAAATTACAAGTTGACATTATAAAAAAAAATAATTAAATAAATTAAATAAATAAAATAAATAAAACATAAAATTGATAAAAAAAATAAATTTAGAAATAAAAATATAATTAAATTTTTTTTTTAAATATTAAGGTAAATACTTGCGACTTAGGATTTTATTAATAGTATATTTAGCTAATAGTTGTATTACAACTACAGAAGTCAATTATAAAAAGAGTATACAACTAACTACTCTTACAAGTTTAGTTATTGTTTAATTTAAGTAGTTTACCTGAAGATTCTATATTAGCTGCCATACATAGAACCTGTTTGTAGGTTTTTTATTTAACTACTTTAGTTTCTGTATCCACTCATCTATCTTTGCTTACCAATGATCTTAACCAATGTTGATAAAAATATGCTATAACCACTAAGTCTTTAAAGCAGTTCTTTAAAACCTTTGATCTTGTACTAAACCTTCCAGAATCTTTTATATCCTATTCTTACAGCTAATCTGATATCACTATGACCAAGACTAATACTGGCAGTCAGAATGTACTATTAAACCATTATGCCTTTGTAAAGTTCACCCAAACTCTGATACTAATTTTATACTATATTCTTACTACTTTGGTATTCAATTTAAGTTCTACTAAGCTGTCATTTCAGATAACTTAGAAAGATAAATTATAACTATACATCTTTGGTTTACATATTTGTTAGCATGTACTCTTTTTCTTTGAAATTTGAAAATTCTGGTGGCCTGGTTAGTTCATCTAGTCATTTCTCAAAAACTAGCATATTTGCTTAGTTTTACAAGTTTTAGCTTTATTTTATAAGTCTAGTTTTTATAGTAATATTATTGAAAGTTCAGGTTATTTCTCTACTTAGATCTTCCAAGTGGGCTTTCATCTTTTTATCTGGTTCTTGTGATTTATATGACCTAAGAACTTATCTTAGGTTCACACTACCTGGTATCAGTTTGTGTTCCTTTGTACAATATTATACAAATGCTTAGACTTTTTAGTTATACTAATATGATATAGGTTACAGATATTTAATCCCAACCAATTACAGAAGACAGTTAACCATAATACAAAAAGAATTGCAAATTTTTACTATCACTAGAATTTAAACTCTAGATTTGTCACTTGAGGGTTGACAACCTATTCACTTCATTAGATTGCCACACTTCTAAAAATATAATTAATATTAATACTAATAAAACTAATAATAATATAGTTAGCAATCTTAATAATATTAAAGGAAAAATAAATATTAATATATATAAATAATAATGTAATAATAAGAAATATTAATAGAAGACTACAATATAGAAAAAAACAAAATATTCAAAAAAAATATAATATAAATAATGAAGATTATCAATCTTATTAAGATAAAAAAATACAAAGAAAATTTATTAAAGTTAAAAATTAAAATTAAAATAAATAAAATAATAAAACTAATAATTTTTAAAAAAAAAATAATAAGCAAAAACCAAATATATATACAATAGCAGAATGTCAAATATGAGTGATGAAAAAGGAAAACCTATAAATCATTTCACTTATTATATGAAATGATTTACAGGTTTTTTTTTCATCACTCATATGTTAAGAGAAAATAAAGAAAATATAAGCATATTTAGTATTATACAAGAGACAAATAAATTTTTTTAAAAAAATTCAAAAAATTACTATAACAACAATATAGAAAAAATCAAAAAAAATTTCAAATTCTTTTATATATACTTTATATAACCTTTTATAGAAAAACTAAAACAAAAAAAATAAAGATAAAAAAATTACTAAACAAAGACTTGATTCTAAAAAGAATACAAAATAAATTGATATAACTCTTAGACACAAAGTTAAAATAACAGTTTATAAATATAGTAATAAAAACAACTTATAAATATAGTAATAAAAACAACTTAAAACATATTCTATGAACAAATATAAAATTACAATATGAAAAAACAAACAAATAAATAAAAAAAAACAGGCAAGATGAAAAAAGTTTAAAAAAAGAACGTATTTAAGAGAACGAAAGTTAATCAACAGATAATAGAAAAGAAGAAAAAATAAACCAATCAAAAAAAACTGAATTAAAAAAAAAAACTAGAAAGACAATGTTGAAACTTGTTATAAAAAAATAAAAACTCTTTTATTATGAACTTTAAGTAATCAAACAAACAACCTACTTCTGTTTGAAGTAGTGTGACAAATTGCACTTAGATACCATTAGGGTAGCTGAGTAATGCTAGACTTAGGTATTAGATATCTCTATGTAATTGCAAATATATTTTCAAGAATCTTAATAAAGTACTATGACTGCTTAAATTAAAAAAAAATTATACCCTTTTTGAATTAACCTATTAGGATTCTGTTTGTTAGAATTTTGCTTTATCGTTATAACTTCTCAAGACAGGTTTAAACGCCCTATTTTCTTGTCTTTTCACTTTTTTTTGCCCACGTATCGGAATAATCACATTTTACGTTCTCCCGATTGGTAATTTCCTTTTTTTGATTTTTTACGTTCTTCCGATTGGCTAGTTTCCTTTTTGAATTTGTATCACTCGTGCTGCACATGTTGACCAAATCAGTTGAATTGTAATTTGGGCCCTTATCGTTATTTCCTACAAAGTAAAAAAAGAAATTTTTGTATGTAGATCACAATATCAGGAATTTGTCTGTATTTCGCTAATAACTCGAAATTTTGCTTAAAAAACCGCCTTTTAAAAAACATTCCTTGCAAAATATTTGTCCTTACTAGCCATGACCTTAATTTTAACTCTAAAATTAAAGCAAATTTACGACAAATAGAACGTTTGTTATTCAATACGTTTGTATCACGATGGGAAATAAGTAAATCGGGTAAAGAAACGCTAAATGTATGTTTGTACTTATATTGGATACATTATATGAAGCCAATGTCATCAAGAAATTGTATTTCACATGTTTTTAACTGACATACAAATTTAGATAAAAAAAAACTTGTCAAGTACCTTTATTTCAAAGATGAAAAGTAATTGGTTCATTCGTGTCATATTTTTGCATCTAAAGTAGCGATTTATCTAAAGTAGTGCCTGGCTAAAATTAAGCCCCTGAAATTAGATCTTCATACATGCATTAAGTTATAATTTTAGCCAAACGCTACTTTAGATATATAAAATAGCTACTTTAGATAAATCGCAACATCATAAGCAAAAATGCATCGTAATACATATAAAACTGTATGTATCAGTATACATTTTCGATTCCAGAAAAATCAATCTTGTGTTAATAAATCATTATCGAAAAAACGAGTCGATCTTTTTGATAACAGTTAGATAACAGTAAAGTTTATCAACATATTTTGAGATTACAAACGAATGCAAAGATTACACAAGATAGCGACCGGTCTAACCCGATGTTTTAAGTGCAAAGCCGATAATTTGAAAACTAACGCATAGAAAATCAGAAGATTTAGGTGATACATACTTATACATAATTAGTGTCGTCTAAACTTTTATCTAAAATATTGTATAATATCCCGTGATAACATTGCATTGCAATAATGCCAACGCATAAAAATTATTGAGCACGTTAGATGACGTAATTTCCATTTCAAAATATTCTGAAAGTCCAAGATTTTTTCTGTAGATATCAGGAATATCGAATGATTCGCTCAATTATTGAAAAAAGTTTAAGAGGTAGTCCGCAGTTAAATGGCATAAATTTCATTGTGAAAATCGGCTCAGTGTCAGCCTAAAATCGAAAAATACTCATATCTCATGATATATAAAGCTGATTTAAATGATTTTACTACCATTAGAATTAGAAAAGTTAGCTCTATATCTTTTATTAGAAGTCAAAAGAAAATTTACTTAATAAAAAAAAAAAAAAAAACTTTTATATGTAATCAAGCTTCATTTCTGTAATAAAAAAGTACTTTAAATTCCGGTTTTGTTAATTTCCGACACTACTAAAATGCATCATAGGTATTTACCACCATAGTTGCTATATCTCAAAAACTATCTAATTAACCAAGGCTGGATATACTGAGTAAAAATTTTCACAACCCATCAAAAATCTTATGCTAACCTAAATTTGGGCCTTTATATCTTAGTCTGTAGTTGCACTTTAAATTTTAGCAAGAAAAATATAAACATCATAGGTGACATCCACAATTTACGTTAAACCAGTATTGTTATAGAGATCTTAAAGATAATACAAACATAATACTACGTGGCATTACCTTCAAGCTAATATCGATATGAATCAATAAATTTAAATTGTCCCAAATTTGTCCCAACTAGAGTTGCTGGTGAAACAAAATGATGGTGAAACTGGCGACTATCTAAAATTTGATTGGCTGTTATATTAGATTTCACCAGTTTCACCGCCATTCACCAAAAGTTTCACCAGTTTCACCACCATTTACCAAGAGTTTCACCAGTTTCATCAGCAACTCTAGTCCCAACTGTCCCAAACTCAACACTGCCTTCAAGGTACTAGTTTAACGTAGGATGGCGCCATAATAATTGTTAATTTCAGTTAATGTGACACAAAAATTCAACGATATATGATAGCTATATATCTGATATGATAACTATATACGTATGATAACTATATATCTGATATGATAACTATATCAATATCAATTACGTACGCACGTATAAATATTGGTATCGATGCAAAGTTTCTTTTTCTAATTTTTCGATAATATTGATACACGTACGGTAAGCTGCAGACTAGTATATCCGGATATTTACAACGGCTAAAGCCGTATCCGGTATTTGATAAGATATAGTTGATATCGATATTGTTATAACAATAAATTCAAATTCATACCTTAAATCCATGAAATCGTCGTTAGGCATAGATATTTTGATATACAATAACGATAATGCATGCAAATTCTGCAGTTTACGGCAACATAATTAATAACAGCCAAAAAAATTATTCAAGGTAATGTGAACGTAAATTGATAATGGGAAATTAAAAAAAACAGCCAAGACACATTTGTGACATATAATTGTAATTCATAACGATAAGATGTAATACTGTATGTAGTACTGTATAAGTATATGTAAATTTGTGGTGTAAGCAATGTATCTTTGTTTTCTTTATACTTTGTTTACTAAAAAAGAAGGACACGCCAGTAACACGTAAGATGAGTATCCAAAATGTCCACAATTTACTATTTTGCGAAACGGTTAAGTATATATAGCCTAATGTGTAATACTTCTTTATTAAGACCAGGACACCTCTTGCATTCCTTTCCAAACATTTTAACATATTTTTTCCTTTATATATATATATATGTATATATATATATATATAAAAAACCCACCGTCCATAAATAATCCCAAAGTCGCGTTGGCCTTACCTTACTAATTGTAAGTTTTGTATATAACACGATCTTTCTCACATATAAGCACATATACTTTCTTTAGAAAAAAATTATTATTATTTAATTTAGTCACAATAATAGTAATTAATTCCTAAATATTACAAAAGAAAGAAAAAACAACGTTAGACTTAACGAAAATGTCATCTATGAAAAATCGTCCTCAGGCAGGCGACTATATAAAATCTGCTAAAGGCGTATCGTTTTCTTATGCGATTGGTTTAAATACTTTTCAGAAAGGAACTCTCGGAGATAAAGACAGTTATGTAACGGGAACTTTACATTTCAATTATGGGAAACCTCAACAAATTAAGAGTGTTTGCCTTAATTTTAAAGGCGTCGAAAAAACAACTTGGCATAAATCTCAAGCCAGGACAAAAGCCGTTTATTCAGGTGAACATACTATCGTCGATCTATTAGAAGAAGTTTGGAAAACCGATAATCCGGATGGTGGTATCATGAATTTAGATATTCCATTTAAAATCAAACTTCCTAATAATTTACCTGATACAATTGAAACTGAAATTGGTTCAATTGATTATGTTCTTCGTGCTGTTATTTCTCGTAAAGGAAGTTTAGGATTATCAACTTCAACTCAAGTTGCTGAAATTAAATGTCCATTAAAAAGAACTTTAATTTTAAATAGCTCTGATAATGTTCCTTATAAATTACGTGGTGAATCCAGATGTGGTATCGATTATCTTTTTAGTCTACCACCAAAAAACAATTTTAATCCTGGTGCATACGTTTCTATCCCCATGAGAATTCGCTTCTTAAAACCGGGTTGCAGTGTTGAAAGAATTGAGATGACTATAAAAACTTGTATGGATTTTAGATGTAGTATTCCAACTGAGACACGTCATGTCAAAGAAATTGCTACCTCTTTATTAATTCCACGTCAAGAACTTAGATATACAAACCGATCATCTTCTGATCAATTTGACAATGAATGCTCACACACTATTAATCTATTCGTTCCACGTAACATTCAACCAACTTATTCCGGTCGTTATATCAGCATTAATCATCAACTTTGCATAAAGTTTTGCTTATGGGGCGCTGATAACGATTTTCAAGTAGAAGAAAGTATAAGAGTTACAAATGTTTTTGATCAGCAACAACAATCTTCTAATGGTCAATCTTCATCTCATTCCAACGTTTCTCCAACCTTTCAACGAACTAAATCTCCTGAAGAAGATACCGCTGAAGTTTATGCTGATGCTTATATTACAAATGAGTGTGAAGTTGGAACTGCTGCATATTTAAATCCAAGTGATCGTGATCAAGTCGAAAGAGCCTCTAATTATTCTAGTCATTCTAGTCGTCCATCTCAACATTCTTTAAAAATCGTCACCGATCCGGATCCTCAATCCTTACCACCATCATACCCTAAAATGTCTAATGAACCAGTGCGTCATAAAGCTCATTATAATAATTCAATAAATAGTGAAGTGGGACGCCCTAAAGTTTTATACCATTCTTCATCAGCGGATGACTTAAATTACTCTAAAGTACCTTATATTTCAGCAACTAGTAATATAATTCATAATTATATTTCAAATGACGATCAATTTTATTCCTATGGATTTGATGATGAGGATGGTTCAACTTTAAGTCGTGATGATTTATTACTCCAACAGAAAATGCAACGTTTGGCTATAGCTCAACAACAACAACAACAGCAGCAACAACAAATTATCTATAGTCAAAATCCTATATACGTGGCACCAAACTCACCTCCAGTCCGCCTTGCCCCTCTTCCTGCAATACCTGTTAACATGAAACAGGATATGATCTTATCTCCTACTCCTCGTGTGCAGACTGGAAAAGCCATCAGGAGTCTTAATGCTAGTGTCGGTAACAACAATTATCCACCTCCCTACGATCATGAACGTGGTCAACCCATCATTTATGTCCCAATGACACCACAACAAATGCAAATGATGATTGACACCAAACAGATTCAATCCAGAAGACAACATCATCCACCCACCACAAAACCTCCAGTTACTAATCCACCTCTTTATCATGATGAGCAAAACCAAATAATTGATGAAAGTACTTATTATGCATAAATTAGCCACGTAAATCACGTAAATTCGTTATTATATTATTTTATCGTTATTGAATTTTTTGGTTTTTGTTTTCATTGTATATATAATTCAATTATTATTTAAGTGTATTTTTCCTTCATATAACAATAACTTTCAAAAGATTATATATTTATTTTTGCATGATTTTTTTTTTTAGATAGGTCTTAGTTTTTTTTTGGTTTACATATACAATTGTATTGCTTGGAGCAAGTTTACCACATGTAATATATGACGCATTATTAGAAATTAGCATAATTAGTTAAAATTAATCAGAGCTTTAGAGATTATAAAAAGTAATAATTAGTTTTATATGGGGAATAAAATTTGTCCTAGGCATTAAAGTACATAGTACATAGCTTTCATTTTTTTATTATCTTTCGATAATTTTTTTTATCATAATCATATTCAATTAACAAACAAGTGATCAAATATCTATAATAATTTTAACTTTCTTTTGAATTATTGTTATAACTTTTATAAATAAAAAATATGCAAAAAAAAATCAAAAATAATAACTTTTTGATATTTTTTATTAGTCACCTACATACCTACATACATACCTATATGTAGATGTATATATTTATGTTTGTGCATTCTCGACATATGTGTTGGTTTCATTGGGATTCTCAATAATGAAATTCTTATCAAAATTATACGTATCTTCGTTTTCCTTGAGTTTTGAGTTCATAATAAAGTAGTGATGAAGCATTACAAACAAACCAAAAAAAGCTTACTTAATTAGTTAATTACATTGTAATTATGAAAATATGATTAAGTAATAGTACAAAGAAAATTATAAAATAAAAATTAGATATCATTTTTAAAAGAGAAGAAATATAAAAGCAATTCAAATTAATAAAATAAGAATTAAATAAGAATCTCTGTTAGAGAAAACAAGATAAAAATATAATACAAAAGGCGTTTTAGATAAATATTTAAGAATATTATAAGGATTTATTATAATTGTTGTCTTTGTCTTAATAAACATTCTAATATGTAATGTCTTTGTTTTAATCAAAGTACTTACGTGCATATCCTATATACATACGTTATGTACATACCTTTATTAAATGCGTCTTTGTTGTCAGAATCGGTTTAGAAGTTAATTTTCGGATCAATAGCTATTGTCACCTTTTTAAACTTTTTTTGTAACCATTTTCTCTGGCCTTATTCATTTCTATATTGTAAAAAAATAAGTTGCTAGATATGATTGATATTTCTATAGTGTTCGGAATGTAGCAGACAGTAGGTAGGATGATTTGCTTGATCGTTTGTTTGTATCATGTTATACAAGACTAATAAATGAATGCAGAAAATACTTCTCCAAGCAATTAGAGTCCCATAAAAAGTTAACGTTAACTAAATTTAAAAATTTTAAATCCGGATTTTGACTCATTGAATTTTTAATTTTTAGCAGTAAAGTCTCATTTACTCTTGTAACAAAGAATATTTTATTTTTTATGTGGTAATTTTCAAATTTCAAATTTAATATTTGTCTTACTGTTATAATTGTTTTACGCATTCTGTTTTTTACAGAAAATTGTATGCAAATGTTTTATCGAATTATCATATTCGGTATTATTAGAGAAATTCTCAAAATCTGTTACGTACTAATTATTTACATATACACTACAAGTCTAATTACACACATCGATTAGCGTAAATAGTAAAAACATATAAAATTTAACTTGTAATAACTCTTAAACAAGAAAATCTATACAAATAAATTTATATTTGTCGAGTTCATTTTAACATACTTTTAAAGTAATTATGCCTTTTTTGATTTATTTTCATTGTTTGGAACATCGCAAAGAATTCAACTTCTATGCAAAATGGATGGATGTTCTTGATACAATTTTTAATAAAAATATCAAAAACGTAACTTTAAAATTTTGTGTTAATCATTATTGCATAATACAATACAATACGATAGCACAAAATTTAAAATTACGTTTTTTAATATTTTTATTAAAAATTGCATTAAAAATAACCATTTTGTATGAAAATTGAGTCCTTTGCGATGCTTCAAACAATGAAAATAAATAAAGGTGTTATTTAATGAGCATGTTATGTAAAACGAACCTGACAAATATAATTTTATTTGTGCTATAATCACAAATGAACTAAGATAATAAACTTGTTGAATGTATTTATTATAGACATTTAATATTACAAAGTTATTGAATAAAGGATAATAAAGCATTAGTTATGATCATTTCACAATAGTATTTATTAAAAAATTTAAATATTATATTTAAAAATTAAGTATTTATATATATTGTTTTGAACTAAAAATATTAATTTTTATTTATTTAATATTTTTAACTATAAGTATGTATATTATGCTTTTTTTTATTATATTTATTATAGATAAGTTGGTCTTTTGATACTGTTTTTTTATTATTACATAAACAAGTTTTTTGTAATCATTTTATTTGTTTGATTATAGCTGATAGCAATATTTTGTTATTAAAAAAACATGTTTTTATATTAACAAGTTGAACAATTTTTTTATTTTATTTTATTTTTTTTTCAGTGTTAAAATGACCTCTTTGGTCGTAGGATACATGTTTTATATAGACGTATTCATAATAAACTATTAGACAAGTGTACAACTAACTATGTGTATAACTTTTCTATATTACCTATTTAAGGAGTTCACCTGAAGGTTCCCCACTAGTTGCTATATCTAACACCCCTACTTAGATGTTCTATTTAAACCTTTTGATCTGATTCTGATATTAATTTCATCAGATCACAAACTCAGATCTATTTGCTTTTAATTATAGGACTATAATTCTTAGACTATTTTTATTCTTGAGGTAAACCTATTAGAGCAAGCCATATTTCTTTTTATCACTAATCTGGTTTGATGTTATGGCCAAGACCAATACTTGCATTTAGTGTTATCTATTAAACTACTATTATCTTTTTAAATTTCATCCAAATTCTGGTACTCATCTTTTCAACTTCTTCTTTATTATTTTTTACTAGCTATAATTCAAAACTAACTAACTTCTCAGACTTCCAATCCAGATGACCCAGTATGATATACTTATGTATTCTTTTCCTCTAATGATTTTAGTAACCTGGTTAGTCATATGCTCTTCTATACATCTTGTTATTTATTTATCCAACAGTTCCTATAAAGGTATTTCATAAGTTTTCATTAGTCTAATGATACTATCGAAAGTTTATGTTATCTCTTTATTCAGAATTTTCAAGTAGGTTTCTGTCTTCTCAGTTTCTTAACCTTTTATGTCTGGTGGTCTTATTACAGGTTTGTACTGAAGCTTTATATAACATTAGTTTTTTATATACCTCTATATATGTGTAATGTTATACTTTACATAAATGTTCTGAGCTTCTAATATCAGATGAGGACTGACTTGATATATCTAAAATTACAGATGCCCAAAACTCAACCAATCAGCAAAAGACAGTTACTGTAACACAAATATAATTTCCAAAATTTATCATCTATGGAAATTGAACCTTAGACCTGTTACTTGAGGATTAACAACCTATCCACTTTACTAGATTGCTACATTCCTACAATTTTTTATAAACATTTTAAAAACTGCACTAAGATATATAAAATAAATAAGGGGTGTGGTGACCTAGTGAAGTGAATAGATTGTCAACCCCCAAGTGGCAGGTCTAAGGTTCAATTCCCACAGATAATGAATTTTGGAAATTATACCTGTGTTACGGTAACTGTCTCT